CATGTATAATATAGTGACATATAATTTGTCGTTTGACTTATCTTTGGTGTATGATTTTAATACTGTAGATTTTCAACAGACAGCTATACTTTGACATATACCATGATCGTTGGTTTCAGCAATGCCAAGGGCCAATTTTATAGTGTTTTGACGGGCTTTAAGTTTTTTTGATAAGGCCTTTATATAGATCAACAATCTGGATACAGTTGGCGATATTTCGGAAATCAAAAGATTTCGCTATTTCGTTGCAATTCCACATCTCATCAATAAATAAATTCTTTTGGTCCGAGTATCAGGATAGACATTAATACTAAATAAATAACAACCACACTGTTAGGTCTAGAGATCTATATTTTCTTGTAGGTTTAATCAGCTGCCACGCAAGCGGCAAGCGTGCTTTCTTTGGCAAGTCTATAAGTTGAGTTTGAAATCTGATCCAACTTGCTTGAATTGTAACTCGACACCAGATTATAGAGTAGAGCGTCACGATATAAATATTAATTTAAGAGTTCTCTTTATACGATTTCTTGTTGCAAATTTACAGTAAATTTCATCACCCAAAGTTGCAATTTTAAAACGCTACAAACACGCTCCTTTCCCACCCCTCTCACAGTTACAATTAAATTTACCTCCCAGAATCTGGGAGGCACGTGACCAGCCGCAGCCAGGGTCTCTCCCAGATGACAGAAGGAGAGATCCTGGGAACGAGGTTGGATCACAATTTGCTTTTCTCACCCTCGGTTTAGCTGTGAGTGTGAACAACGTTGTAAAGTCGCTTGTATAATTATGTAAATTTACAGTTACAAAGTTGTAACTGAGTCGCTTTTCACATTGTCTTAATAGACCTTGTGCATAATGACGTCACAAGGCTTGATGCCCGCGAGGAATGCTGGTCTTAGTAGTCATCACCCGGGAAAATTTCGATAGTGGCCATTTTGAATTGTTTAATTTTCCCGGGCGATGACTACTATAAAGACTAGCATTCCTCGCGGGCATCAAGCTTTGTGACGTCTTTATGCATAAGGTCTATTGTCTATACGAGGAAAGACAGTACCCCCTTCCCCCAAATTGGCTGATATTGGCCCGCGCCTTGCCTGTAGTAAACTTGTCAGCTTAATTTTAAAGGGCATATGACTCGAAAATTGACAGTGTTATTTTTTAGTCTAATTTGAAAGATCATTGAAAACTTGACAGATTTTTGTTTTCATGCTTCGTCATTGGAGATATTTCATTTTGTATGATATACAAAGAACCAACTCTCTACTTCACACATGCATAATGACTTGTTATATAATTTTGTCACTATCAAATAAATTCGCTCAAAATGAATGTGATGAGCACGAGATTTGTCCACAACAACACCCATGTAGATTTTCTACTGCATGATCGTGTTTAGTCGTATTAAAGATATACAGCTTCTAAGGCTAAATAATTATGCATATGTGACGTAGGAAGTTGGTCCTTTGCATATCATACAAAATGAAATATCTTCAAAACGAAGCAAGAAAACAAAAAGCTATCAAAGAAGTTACTCTACAGTTTTCAATGATCTTTCACATTAGACAAAAAAATAACACCGTCAATTTTCGAGTCATGCATGCGTCAACTGTTCATAGACTGTTTCTAATAAATTCACACCAATGCTTTTGCCTCCATTTTGTTTCCATCGCCACCATGGCTATTTCGCTTGCCAGATCTCCGAGATAGGTCCATATTACCAGTGCGCTGGCTGGAGCCTGTCGGAGACTCATCGCCAGATCCTCGGCGTAGCCGATACCATGACGAGATTCGCACGAAGACAAACCGGAATCCAGTTCGGAATTCAAACGACATGAAACTGAAGAGAATTGGATTGACTGCAGTGCTCAAGATTGTTGCCAACATGGCGTAGTTCTTGACGGTCGGGAGAGCCTGTAAGACAACAGTGCACTTGGTAATACGTTGACCCGTTGCTGGTACTACAGAGCTCTGTGTAGGCTATTATATAGTAAAGAGTGAGATACTGAAAAATACACAGTGAGATATTTTCCATATCTTCACTAGTGAAGATATCGATCACGTGACTTACAGTATTTATACAATTTTTTGATTGGGACTATATAATAAACAGAACATTACACGGTAGCTTGAAGAATGCGCTCGTTCGTAAAATATTGTTTTCACCACTCGAAGATAAAAGTCATATCTTCGCGCCGCCGTGTAATATCCTCCATATATATATTTGAAGCAAGAACTTCAGTTATCTGCGAAGTTCTTAAACAGTTTTTAACCCCAGCTAATTTCAGTCCAAAATATGGAAATTATAGAGGATTGAGAAACGAAGGAACATAAAACATGATTATACTTATGACATGGTGATCGTTATAAGCGAGAAACATAATATGAATGAATGATGAGATTTGATTTACCACAATACAAATAAGTAATAGCCAATATATAAGTAAAGGTATAATAATAAAGTGTTATTAGAAAGATATAGAAGTTGATAGAAGAAACAATAATTTTGAACAAAAAGTGGTGAGGAAGCCCAAATAGAAACCAAGAGGCTTATAGGAATTTGGGCTACCTCATCGGTTATACTACATTAAATACAAATTTTACTCATTTTTGAGTATGAAAACTATATTTATGGTAGAGTGTTGGCTGAAGACTGGTTTACACTATGACAGTTTCTGTGACCACAGCAGGAATTTTGAATGGGTAAATTCTAAGTTTTGAAGAATTTGTAAGAAATGCTTCCTCACCGACAAAGATACTGTATGTAACAAGTTCTTTAAAACTTAAATAAATAAATAAATAAATAAATAAATTTACCCATGGCAAATTTGCTACTGTGATCACAGAAACTTTGATATATTATAAACCAGTCTTCAAATCCAAGAATTTTATCTAGTATATATGAACTCCTATACCATAGATATGACTCCTACCTTTGGGTTATTCCACGGTGTGTCACGTGCGTTTTCCACGAACTCAACGATATTCCAAGGAGACCAACATATAAAGAACGCGATCACGATGACAATTACGAGCAGCGACATGCGTTTGCGTGCTTTAAACTGCTTGCGTTGCGTGTCGTTCTTGTCGGTGAGGAAGCCCAGCGGTTGCTTTCGAAGGGTCATTGAAATGAGAGCGTACATAAACGCCATGAGAGCCAGAGGGATGAAATATAGTATCACATACACGATCGTGTAGTACGCGCGGGACGCGAGTTTGCTTGGCCATAATTGGTAACAAGTACAGTATTCTGGTACCCAGCAGCGGTGCTCCATCACGGAAAGGAATGGTGACGAGAATACGAAACTCAGTACCCAGGTCGCAAGGATTAACGCCAGCGTACGTTTCGGTTTGCCGCGAAACGATAACGGATAGCGCGTGGCCAGGAAACGCTCGACTGTGATCAGAATTAAATTCATGATGGAGAATGAGTAAAATGAGCGAAGAATGAAATAATACACACGACAGAACACCGCGCCGTATTTCCAGTTGTAATCATCCAGTAACATAGAAATGTGAAATGGCGCTAAAATGGCGAACAGCAAATCGGAAAAGGCGAGATTAGCGAGTAGGTAGTAGATGGTTGATCTCATGTTGGGGTTGAGGAATATTGTAGATATCACGAGGATGTTACCAATGATGCCAAATCCGTCAATCAATGCGAACAGAACTTTGTAGAACTCGATAGTACCCGAGAAATGATCAAAATGGCCTTGATGCTGCTGTCCGCTTGACCCGTTCGACATGTTAGGCCACGTCGACATGTTAGGCCACGTCGACATGGTTGAATTTCTGATGGTGGTCCCAGGGTATGAAACTGGTCCCAGGGTATGAAACTGGCTGTACTTAAATCTGCTCTCTGGTCGGATATTTCAGTTCTGTCCTGTCGTCTTTGGGAGATTTTCGACTTCTGACAAAAACGGATTAGAATAGTTTCTCTGGATAATTTTCTGTTTATCTGTTGTGAATCTTGCTCTTTGGAATTCTTAACAACAAAATGAATGTCTTTAGTGAATGATATTGTTCCTGGGTAATCGTCAGGTGGGCGGTGGGAAAAGATAAAGAGATTGCAACTGTCTTTGTAAGCGAATTCTGTAGAATGGAATTCCTCAGCGTTTCCACTTCTAATGGCGATGCTGAAAAAATAGTCAAATATTGCACTTGGAATGTCGCGATAAGGACGTGTTTTTCTGAGCACAGTAGGAATTTTTTCATAGGTAAATTCTACGTTTGAAGGATTTGTAAGAAATGTTTGAGGGAACCAACTCCCTGTTTAACACTGAGTCAGTTTCCTCAAAGATTTCTTACAACAAATCCTTCAAAACTTAGAATTTACCTACGCGCGCAAAATTTTAACTGTGATCGGAGAAAATTTTGACAGTGTAAACCATACATTAGAATTGTTGTTACAGTTCTTACCGTATGGATGTCAATCCAATCTGTTTCTCTTCCAAACAGTCAAACTGAAAATGTCACTTTCCACGCACACAATAGAGTAATTCCTTTCTTATAGAAGCTCAGGGGACTCGAGAGTTCCAGAATTTCTATAAAAAACCCCAAAAGAAAGTAGAATGTTTTAGTTAGATATTTCAAACACGGGTGCAGTGTTGGTATAATGTTGTACAATAATGTGTCTGAACAACAGGAAAATGATGAAGAAAATATCGACAGTTTTATCGACAAGGTCCTTCGCACAAGTCCCTGAGACGTTTGAGTTATCTAACTTATCTTTAGTTCGCCTACGCTCGGTAAATACGTACTGCAGAATTTGTGCTTGATATATAAACCAGAAGCGTGGGCAACCAAATTCTTCGGTCTTGCAGGCCGTGTAAAATTCCTAACCTACCACAGCCACAGTACAGTACACTACTGTACAGTATAGAGAAGCGCTGGCCTTTATTTTTAAGCAGCAATAAACTAACAGTTTTTTTACTGTTGAGTAGTCAGTCATGAATATACTAACTTTTATACTTAGCGATTCACTTGCTGTGCTAGACCTAGACATATAAATCTCATGGATTTCCAAGCAACCAAGCGTCACCAATGCAATTGTCGGAGTGATAATCCACATAGGTGGTTCTTCTTACGCAAGTATAGAAATAGATAAAAACACTAAGCCTAAGGAAATATAACTGTGTAAACACACGATACGATAAAGTATGAACATCTGGCAGAGAGTCTTTCTGCCGCTCCGTTGCTAAAATGAGCCTTAACTAATCTTATGAATCTAAATTTATTATCACACGATTTAATGTCCTCTGGAAGTTGCTGTATACGCCTTGAGTATTGACACAACAAGCTTGAAATATTCCATCGTCCAAAGGAACCTTCAATTTGTGCTCTGGGGATGAACGGAGTGTCGTATCTGGTGACTATGTTTCGAGTTTTAAATAAGAAGGCCACTAATGCCTTTTGTTTCGCTATACTATAGTGCAGAAATGCGCTGAGCAATGATTAGTGTCGCATTTAATCGATAAATATGCAGTCTATCTATGCCAACTTTATGCTTACTGGATACTATAATTAGTACTTACTGTGGCAGATATTTAAACCAGGAATTCCAAGTTGAACGAAAGGCCTGTTGTGTTGGATGTGAAATTTCCAAGCTACTACAAGAGAGTTTCTAAATAACTCGTGAAAAAGATAAAGACATCTGACGACTGCGGCGATTGAAATGAGACAACTGCGCAATGAAGAGCAGTTATAAAACATGATACCATGTTTAATAATTCAGAACAACTCCGATTTTGATTGGTTTAGAATAAGTGGTTTACAAGGTAAAGTTCGAAATCAGAATATGCACAGCTGACATACGGAGGTTTTATTACGTTACTTTTTGTACTAGTTTTTCTCACATTCTGCCTAAATCGTATTATGTGTCCTAATCTGCAATATGTTTGTTGTAATTTGTCTGGAGTTCGCACGATTTTCTTCATCTAACGTAACATTGGCAAAAATACTTGAGTATATCAGCCCGGAACGTGTTTGAAATTTAAGCCAATATGGATCAGCATTCATCTGATTTAAAAATGGAATAATCATAATGCCATGATATATTGTCAGTGTATATATGCAGGGGGATTAAGATGTTTGTGCGGCTAAAAACGGATCATTTTGGGCGTGCCTTACAAGTGCAACTGAATTATAACTTTGCTTGTAAATCATTACCTCTTTATCTCCATCTTAATTGTGTAGTGTTGATGATAAGAACATCGTTTAATGTCATAGTGTATACATTTTCTCCTTAGCATCCAGTATATGCTTTTCAGCCTGTGTCGAAACTGATCCTGCACAGGCTAGGTGTAACTTCAAAACAGATTAGATGTGCGTTTGAGGACATTTGTTTTATTAATTTTCGTTAAGAAGCTTACCTATATCGGTACTATACAGCTGGAAATCACATATTTGATAAAACAACGCTCATTAGTTCTTTTGTCCTCGGTTCTACTGTTCGCGCTGTCTTGTTCAACCAAACAGGAATTCTCCCTATTATCCCCAATTATAATTTCAATTCAAACATTACGGTTTTCGAAGGTTTCACTTTCCCAAGGCCAAGTTGTTGTCATAGCACAGTTCCACCAAAGCGCAGAAAAAATTCGATCACGATATTGGAATAAATAGAGTCTGGCCTTTTTATTAAAATCCGTGTTTACCAAAGAGCCATATTGGCATATATGCGCAAATGAATTAAGCCCATGAAAGGGAATGCGCCTACTTGTCTCAGAGCAGGTGATATTATAGGCCACTATATAGAATAGATTTGTTGACTATTATTTGATAATTAGCGTCACTATAGAGCAGTTAAATCCCGGCTGGAACTAATTGTAGGGGTTAGCTATTAGATCCCTGACCACATAATTTAAAACGTTCCTTTTAACGACCTATCCGCATTAGCGAAGTGGCTTTCGCAATTGAAAAATTGCGAGATAAGATCAATATGTATAAACACGATCGCGATAAACGAACAATACTTAATGTTTTATGAATTTCATGATTTTCGCAAAATTGCTAGCAAATGATTGCACTAATTTTAGTTAGGATATATTTATGTATGAGTATGAGTACTGTGTGATGTTGTGCGCGTCGGAGCCGATCGAAGAGCGTATATAATATTGTGCATGCATGCATGTATATCAATTTCCCGATGACGACTCGTAAATGGTATTAATATTTCTTAGGGTTTAAGTCACAGCGTTATTTCTTGAGATTTTAGAACTTCGTGAGTTATTGCGACATATATTTTTGCGGTATTGCCTTGTTTTTTTTAATTTTTCTAAGAAAGTCTTTCCAGTACTGCACCCCCCGTGGAGTAACTTCACGGAATATATTTTTGCGGTATATTGTTTTTTTATAATATTTTACATTTTTGTACGATATGTTTCTAGTAATTCACCCATGCCTGGACTAACTTTCCTTTAAATATATTTATGTATAAGAATAAGAAGTATAGTACGGTCTCGTAGTCTTAGAGCAAGCGCCTTTCAGAGAGTAAGCCGCGAGATATACATCTCATCTGGCATATACTCGTCAGAGCAAGCGAGATAACGTCCTCCTCTTTCGCAGACGCGTATTTATTCTTCACTGATACATCAATCACAACCCCAGCCCTAACGTGCATCAGAAACATGCAGAGAATATAACTCATTCTGACTCGTGTGCCGGAAAGCGATAGTTAACGTTCTGCCTAAAATCGTGGATATTTGACTATTGGGTAAATGGATTAGAGAAGAAATGTCACAATTAGCGATAAATATTTTAAGCTTAGTCGTAATATATATAACTATTATAAGTAATCTAAGTACTTGGTGCTAAATAATGTATGGGCAACCGTTGTTGTTGATACCCGTTAGCCAGACTTACGCCTGCATTCTAAAGCTCACTCACCGACTCGATGAGTGGAGGTTCAATCTGAGCTTCCCTTGAGTGTCAATGCTGTTTCCGAATAACTGGAGGGTGAGTTGTCACATAGTAAGGTATGACACTAACCCTCCAGCTATCCAAAAACAGCAATGACACTCGACCTGAAAAATACGAGCAAACTTTGATGTTTCGAGCGAAGGCCTTTCGCGTTGAGAAGTTAGTGACGACCCGCAGTATAGGGAAGCCAAGCGAAGTTTGCTCAAGTTCATGCAGGAAACACGCGTAGCTAGTAGGAAACAATGTTTCCACGACATAGTTGCCTTAGAAGTCTCTATATTTCCGGGAAACGAGTAGGGCAGTGAAACTAGACCATAATATCCACCATTTAATGTTCTTATTAAACTTTTCATTTTGATAAACTCGGACGAACTTTACTATGAAGTTGGTCTTGTACTAGTGGCCTAGTGTACTGTGGAAACGAGAAAATTTTGGAGAATTTGTCATGCATGCATGCATGTAATGTTATGTATAGGTTATTTTAAGGGAACGAGGAAATATGTGATTTATTCACCGAGGCGCGCAGCGCCGAGGTGAATAAACACATCCCCGCGGTGCCTCAAAATAAGTAAACGTACTTATTTTTCACATTGCGAGGTCGCGTTAATGAGTCAGAAGTAGAAATAATTCTTAATGCCATATTGCCTTCATTATGTTGTTTTTTCTCATTTTTTGTGCTGCAAAGACATTATATTACAGGTGAATATTAGAGGGAAATTGATTAGAGGGGAATATTGAATATATTACCCGATAAGAACACGGGAAACCGAGCAGGGTGAAAAATAATATATGCTTTTAATTCGACACATGTAAAATTCGACATCTGCCGGAACAAGCGTTAGATAAAATGAATTTTTCAGCGAGACAGTATTTCCTCATGATAAAAGGTGTGGACTAATATTTCACCAAATTAACCAATCTGCAGATAACCAATTTCACCACACATAAAAAAACCGTTATCAAGTACAAAATATTTTAGCAACCATAATCTTACATCTGTTAGTAACGATGTACAAGGTTAATAATGTTCATTTTATAGTTTAGATATGCAATTTACAACCCCCCCAATTTATCTGCAATTATTCCAATATGTTATCCATAAAAGAAGGGGACGAAAAATGGTTATTATTTAGCGAAAAATCGTTCAATAATTGAAGTGAATTTCACTAAACAGTTGAAAGTTATTTTCTCTGGTATGAAATTGAAACCGAAAAAATCCGCGCCGGTTCCAGTTATTCTTTGGAGGGAGGTTCGATTAAAGGCTGGTTTACACACATGATCGTGCACAGTAAGAACACAGAGTAGAGACATACAGAGACGTAGCAGACCATTGTAAACACTGCGGAAGATTACGTAATCACGTACCCACTTTTTTCAGGCGACCGGGCGAAAAATGATCAACTGCGCGTGCTCAGCAAGTTTAAAGTTAGTCGTCATCAGGTCGTCATCCAATCAGATGCATGCATCTAGTAACTTGCCGAGTTGCCGAGCATGCGCACAAAAAAAGTGGGCACACTAGTTACGTCTCTGTATGTCTCTACTCTGTGGTATTAAAGAATTTAAATTCTAAGTTTTGAAGAATTTGTGTGATATCTTTGCGGTAACGGACTTGCTGTTTCACACTGAATCAGTTCCCTGAAACATTTCTTACAAATCCTTCAAAACTTAGAATTTACCTATGCAAAATTTCTACTGTGATCACAGAAACTTTGATATGCCAGACTTAATAAGCTGTTATTAGCTGGACAAAATATTGTAAGCAGGAAGAATTAGCAGCCTCTGAAATAATTGTTTGAAAAGACAATGAATATTGTAAATATGGGGTCATTTGTGAATTGAATTTTGTATTTAATAAATCCAATAGCATACTGATCGTTATCTTTAGCAAATTGTCATATCAAAATATCTGATTGGACAAATTATTTGCGCTTCTTTTCACAGCTATTCACAGTTTTCGGCTTAAATTGTAGTTTTTAAGTTCAAGGTTAAGGTATGTTTCTGTCGACAATAGAAATGAATTAATCTTTATATGTAACGTAATTTTTGTTTCATTTTCAGTCGCATAAAACATTCAGTTATGTTCGAAAAGATGAAATATATGCTCCAGCGCGTAGCCTGTAGGCCTATGAATGCTAACTTACAGCGCGCTTAATGCAAATCTTTCAATGAGTTTTGATATTCTTACATTGCGGAAACGTTTTTGTTTTCATATTTCTTCGTCGACACGTGCAGATATTTTAATTGTAATCTGTAAAATTTAGACTATATGTCTATATGGTATGAGATATTAAAGATAAGTATATAGTATTGCGCCAAAACGTATGTGCAGTGTTTGGACATCTTGTATTAAAAAAACCGCTACATATGTTATAGCTGGGAAACTGTCCTCTTATAAAGAGATGTAATTTCAACTCATTATTTGTGTCATGTCAGGATTTGTGAAATTAATAATGATTCAGATAAGATCTTTGGCCGGGATGATTAAACAAAGATACAAAATGACAATCAAGATAAGATATGCTCTCAAAAGTAATCGCGAATT